CTATTTTAAATGGACTGACAGTTTACAGATAAGTGACAATTTATTCTTAATTCCTGCTTAAAGCATTAAGCAAATGTCATCCAAGATCCTTTGCTATACAGGCCACACTAGATCATATGGTTTCATCTAGCTGTAACAATCATTCTTACCTACAGAAGTACAGGTTTGTTAGATCAGTATGTAATAATGGAGGAAGTGCATTCAGTACAAATTCATTCCCTTCTCTACAACTGGTTTCTCAGCAAAGGGTAAGTCAACATCCAGTAAAGTGGCTGCAGACAGTCATGCATCATGTGTTGCTTGACAGCTGGCTGAACATGAGCCAGCAGTGTGCCCAGGTGGCCAGGAAGACCAATGGCATCGTGACTTGTATCAGAAATAGTGTGGTCAGCAAGACCAGGGAAACAATTGTCCCCCTGTACTCAGCACTGGTGAGGCATGTTGAATACTGCATCCAGTTCTGGGCCCCTCACTACAAGGACATGGAGACGCTGGAGCATGTCCAGAGAAGGGCAACAGAGCTGGGGAAGGGTCTGGAGCACAAGTCTTATAGGGAGCAGCTGAGGGAGCTGGAGGTGTTTAGTCTGGAGAAAAGGAGGCTGAGGGGAGACCTTATCACTCTCTACAACTCCCTGACAAGAGGTTATAGCCAGGAGGGGGCTGGCCTCTTCTCCCAGGCAACTAGTAACAGGAGAAATGTCCTCAAGTGACACCAGGGGAAGTTTAGATTGGATATTAGGAAAAATGTATTCACTGAAAGGGTGGTCAAGCATTGGCACAGGATGCCCAGGGAAGTGGTTGAGTCACCAACCCTGGAGGTATTAAAAAGATGTGTAGATGGGACATAGTTTACTGGTGGGCTTAGCAGTGTTAGATTAATGGTTGGACTCTTAAGTGTTAGAGGTCTTTTCCAACCTAAATGATTCTATGATCAGAAAACTGGTTCTATTTGTAATACCCTTTTTAATGACAATCATTCTGCACACTTTCAAAGTATATATTTGGATTATGAATCTTCCTTTTATATATTTTACTGTATGCAAATCTAGTGTGTAGAGATACTTGGTTTTACAGGAAGCAAGGATAATGTTTATAGAGCTGGACTAAGGTTCAGAAATACACATTCTAGTCCTGGCTGAGTTTTGAAGTATTTGTATTTTATCCATCAAAACCAAAAAAGGCACTTCTCTGCTTTATTACTTTTTATTATTTATGGAAGATGCGTTATATTTTGCTGACAACTTCACTACTATGGTCAGCACCCTAAGCATAGGAAATGTGGAAGTAGGTCAAGTAGGCTGAAGTTGAGGTGGCAAATCAGCAATTCAGAGTGCAAACAGTGCAGTATCTTCCTTGACTTTTGGCCAGAATATCATTTTCTGTTCCTGTATCAACTACTACTATAATCCACAGGCATCAAGCAGATTATTAAAACCATAATGGAGTGAGAGAGAAGTTGCAAACTTGAACTATTACTTATTGAATGAGTTCTGTGCAGTAGGAAGGAAAGGAAGAATGTGATAATGAAATACTGGCCCAGAGAGAAATAAACATTCAAAAACCCAGTGACCACCTGTTTTCTTAATAAATAAATTTTTAAAAAAAGGCCAATAGCATGAATTTCTTAGCAGATCTGAAAAGAAATTACTGAGAAAAAGTTTACTTCATTTCTGAATATGTAATGAATACAAAAGCAAACCACATGCAAAGCAGCACCTCTTGCAGCCTAGTTTGAAACCACTTTAAGCAAAGTGTGATTTTTCAAATACTAAACATTTTCCTCAAATCACAATTAATTTGTCAAGAGTGGCAAATATTGTGTGTACTTTTTCTGATGTGCGAAGCTTTGTCATGTGCCAGAATTTGAACGCAAAGGATGTTTCTTTTCAGAACCAATGCTAAAAAAGTTTGCTTCACTTCAACCCTAAATTTTACTTTCCATGCTTCTGTGCCTTTGCTGGATTACCATTATGCCACCAAAAAAAAATAAATTAAAGTGCTGTTTATCTGTAAGGTATTGTTCAGAAACTTGTAGATGAAAAACACTTTTACACAGTGCACTGTGTAAAATTAGTGAGATTTGTAAATGTTAAACTTCTGGTGAAATAATCTCAAGACTCACCTCTATCATACACAGAACTACTGGCAGTTAAAAGTGAGTAGAGAAGCAGCAAATGGTGATTATGACAGCAAAAAATCTGCTTCTTTCCTTTGCTTTCTCACATCCATTCCACCATCACTAATTTGGTATTAGACTACTGGGAGATAAGACAAGTAGGACAGGTTGTTAAACATTTAAGGCAAAGATTACCCTATCTTCCTTACTCAGTAACAGTTAAACCAAATTTTTCTTTACTGCAATACAGGCTTAAAGCTTATTGCAAACACCGATTTGAACTGGCTTAAATACACAATTCCTAGTTCTCCAAATTTTTTGTACAGGACAACTTAGTGTATTTCTTATCTACATGTAAGACATACTGTCTCCACAAGCTGACATAGCCTACATCGGGAGTCTGACAGCTACTTTTCAGGAAAAAAAAACACTGTACAAAAGATGCAAAACTAATCATGTAGGGCAGAGTCCCTTGAAGACACTACTACCTTACTATAATGCATATTTGAATGCGGAAAAAAAATAAATTTTTTAAAGCAAAAAGACAAGATAATGAAAGCTATACCAAAATTTAAATTTTCTTTTCCAAAACTTCAACCTAAATGAGTTAAATAAACATCCAGAAAACAGTCAGTGCTCACTGTATTAGCAGACACACAAGTCATTTCACCAAACTAATAATTATTTACATGCATATTTCCAACGTGTTCTTTACAGTAGTCTTTTGGGAAATATTTCCCATTTGGTTTTGATAAGGGATTCTGCTCAGTCTAACCAATAATAGGTAATAGGAAGAATTACAACTGAATTTGGCAACAACAACGGTACATCCTAGGAAGACTAGCATGAGTATATGGGGTCAAAAAACTAGCAGTTGACTTCAGAATGTTAACATTTAAGAAATATGAGTTTACTCAAAATACAAAATTAAAATAAACTATATAAAAGAACTAGAGGAATGGAGAAAGTTACAGGAATTGCTGGAAGGTTAGACATGTTATCAAGCACTGCACATACTCTTGGAGAAGCATGGGTTAAAACAATTATATTCATGTAGTCTTGAAGAATACAGAAAATTACAGGATAGCTTTTGCTTGTAAAAGTTCAAAATAAGCTTACCTGAACCAAAGGTCTTGAAAGAACCCAACTTTCAAAATACTGCTTGCTTTTTCACATATCAACTTATAACATGTTTACTCCAGGAAAAAGAGTCCAGACCTCACACATATGTGTTTTGGAAGAGGAAGGAAAAGGAAAACCAAAACTCCCCCCTGCAAAAAAAAACCCTTCACAAACCACTTGTCATGATTTCATGAAAATGATCTACAGAAAAAAAACCAACACCAAAAAACCAGATAATTGATCTTATGCTCTTTAGTTAAAAATAACATAAATTTAAATACCAGATCTTGTATATGGTAAAAAGGATATGGCCTAATGTGTACTAAACCAAGCAAGCAATTAAATTGAAAATTAATTTATTCTTCCTCTCTCCTCCCAAGGGCAATCCTATGGGACTGCTCCCCATTAAATTTTCATTTCCATTATGATACTTTTAAAATCAATTTTATTGCAGCCCAAACATTGATCATATACCTGTCCATAAAATAAACTGTGATATATACACAATACTAAGTTACAGGGCATAAGTTTACAATTTTTGGCAGATTCTGTTCAACAAAATGGAAATTTAATAACTTTAGTACTTGGAGAAAGTGAACTTCCTTATTTTGGTACAAATGTTTTGTGTCTCCCTGTATTCTAACCATACCTAAACTGGTTTAATAAACTAACATTAATATGTAACATCTCACTGTTTTCTCTTATGTTCTGATTCTAGACAGAATTTTTCATATGCTTCTTCAATTTCTGGATCCATCTTGTTATCAAGGTCATTAAAATACCTAAAATAAAATAATAAAAAATATCACCAAAACTGTTAAATTTATGTACAGATTTTCAGAAACAGTAAATAGGTGAAATATTTACATAGACATCAAAAGCAAAACAGAGCTTATGGGTACTGGGAAAACAAACAGAAATCCCAAAGCAGCCTGGATATGTACAAATTACTACAGCGTTTGTCACCATTTTAGAACATCTTATGCTGTCCACAGGTTAAAAGAAGGGAAAATGCAATAATGTAATACCGGCTTTCAAAAATTTAATAAAACCTTTGCACAGATGTATTTAAAAAAATATTATTAGCATCATATTAGCTTAATTTTAGTTGGTTATATCCCAGTTCAAATACTGCATCAACTGTCTTGGTTGCACACTAGTCAGAAAGATATATTTATATAGAAAATCTATATTCCTATTTGTTGATACATGAAAGAAGGCAACCTTAATTCACCTCCCTATTGTATCTGCATTATATTACCTTCTATTACATGGTAACCAGTCTTTCAGATCTGTCTCGTTTAGGTCACAGAAAAGACTGTATCCCATTAATGATAATCAGTATTGTGCAGAGTGGAGACTACCAGAGTTTCAAACTAAAGATGAAAAGTGATCAAGATCACTTAATAGTTTTTTTCTCCTCACAGTTACTGGGAAGTAACTCAAGTGTTCCTTGTTTTCTCTAGGTCCAACTGGAGCATTCATCACCATAAACTAGGAAAACACACGATAGTGTATATAATTCTAAACAGCCTTAAAAGAAGTCAGCAGCTATTGACTCTCATAAAGCATGCATTAGTTTCAGGGGCACGGTTTATTATCTTCTGTGCTTTAGTTCCAAACAAGGGAATCAGCATGTGCATTAAAACAGTCTACATATTTATATTGTTTGTTCTTCTTTTCCTGTAGAAGTATAGACTTGAGAAGAAACTCAAGATTGAACCCTTCTCCTTGATGCCAGTAATGAGCAATAGCCGATAGAGGATCAGGATAGATTTGTCTAAGCTTTCCTTAAGCCTTCAAAGAAGGTTTGGTTCCACAGTCACCTTGCATGAAAGTTGACTTATAGTCTTCTTCCACACATCACTCCAGATCTACTGTGTTTAACTGCTGTCTGCATCTATTTTGCATTTAATTTGTTCTAAACACAACAGTTCACAAGGGTAGTTTTTTTCCCACAGTATGAACTTGATTTCTGATGACATCACTCATTTATCTTCCAAAGTTCCTGTAACTCCCCTCAGCTAGGTGCCATCTAAAAGTTTTCTAATTTGCTAACAAAAATATTGATCCAGACCAGAACTCTTATCACTCATAAACACAACACTGAAAATGCTTTTGGGTATCAAATCATGATCTGAAAGTCCTCCTTCAACCAGGTGAGTACAAATCTCAGAGCAATTTATTTTATACTGTATTTCTTTCACTTGTTTCCTATCAAATTCTTCTAAACCAGTGTCAGAAATTCAGACTATATTCCCATCTACTGCTTCCTCTTTTACCATTAATTGAGGGAATACTACTTTATCCTGAGGAGAAAAACGTAACCTTCTCCCTTTGAAAGACACTGAAAACTTTTGCAATTATCTCTAGCTAGAATGAATTCAGCTTGCCTCACTACCAACATTTGAAGACTGCTGCATCATTTTGCTTGCAAATTTATTTCTTTAAATGCAGAAGAGAGTATGTTTGCACATGTGCAAAAATATCTGAAATTTAATTGGCATACTCAGTTGGCTAAATATAAAATTTATTTCAAACTTGTGTGATTAACAAATCAACTTACACCAGAATACATAACTTCAACTGTAGAGCTAAATAATATTATTAATTTAATTTTTTACAAGATTGGATTCCCAAGTCTGCAGTAAAAATAACTAGCATTAAAAAAAATCAAAACCAAAACCCACTCCACAACAACTATCATTCAAAAAGAAAACATACTGATCTCCAGGTCCTGATAAATCTGTTTCATTTTCTTCATAATCTGGAAATAAGTCCTCTCTTTCAAGTAGTTCTTGGTATTTTTCTTGGTAATCTGCCATAGTAAATATGAGACCAAGTAATATATTAGTCCTCTAAATTAACATACATCTATACAGTTTGAAAATAGCCTATTTAATGAAACCATAAATGGCATGAAACAGAAAAAACTCCCACTACAGTGTTTTCTGAGGACATCAATCAACCTCTAAGAATGATACCTATCTTCCAAGAGAAACCTAAAGCTAGTCACAAATTTTCTTTACCTCAAATGATATCATGCCACATTGTGCTCAGATTATAAGAAACAAAGAAACCAAGGAAGAAACAAACCCTTTTGCTACTAACAATGGACAAACAAAAGAAGACCTGAAGACTTCTGGCTTTGCGGAGAGACCAAGTGCTGAGTACTATGGCACAATATGAACTCAATCACACATTCTCCATTTCAAACATTCACCTTCTTTGAACACAGAATAAGGCATGTGTTACACAAAGCCAGGAGTTCAGACATAATTTTGTCTTAAATTGTATGAGTTTCAGGTATTTTAAGAACAATGTTTTTATGTACTTCAACAGGACATAATCTTAATTACACCCTTTTAAAGACTGAGAAAACAGGTGACATACCTGGATCTGCTGCAGTGAAAGGAATGCCATCAGAAGTGTAAAATGTTGGTTCATTCTAAGAATAAAATTATACAGTAAGTTATATGAGTTCAGAGAGACAGATGTTTGTAGCTTTCAGCAATGTGATTGTCTATGAATCAAATTCACATTAAATTAAGGAATTGAAATGTCAGTACATTCTTACCATAAAATAGTTAGGGTCATTTTCAGGGGTAGATTCTGTATGTGGAGAAGTTCCATGAACTCTACCCCAGTTACTTGATCGTAATTCCACTACTTTCAGAAGCATATGTTTTACATCTCTGAAATAAACAGAAGCAGCACAAAAGTTAGAATGATTTGTGCTAAACAATAATTAGGCTAATGGGGGAGGGGAGAGGGGAGGGGGAAGGGAAAGACCTAAACCAAACAAACAGAAAACAAACATACACCACCATCTTGTTAAATTGGAATGTTAATCTCTAGTGAAAGATAAAAAACCAAAAAAATTGAACAAGCGCTACCCACACAACTGAAAATTACTTTTTGCTACATGGGAAGCAACCAAAATATCAGCTTACTTTTCTTAAATGAAAGTTTTTAAGGTAATGTTCTGGACATGCTCATTATTCTTGAAGATTTTTAAGGTGTTCTGTTTACTATAAAAGCAAAACACCGCAGAAAAATTTATCTTCTCACCTGCTACAGTTTGCATCCAACACAACATTTTCAATTCTCTGAATAATTTCCTCCATATCATTCTTTCCTCTTTCTTTCCAGGCATCTTCTAAAACTGAGCCTGTCAACTAAAGACAAGGGATTAGGTTTTGGTCTTTTTTTCCCTCTTTTAACGTGAATTTTAAAAATTTAAGAAACTGTCAACAGAAGAGATTCTTTAACAATCCATAACACTTAGATGTATTATGTGACTACCTGAGGGTTGAAGGTCCCAATTTCCTACATATTTTTTCTGAACAGATTGATGGCATAAATATTTTATTTTAGACTACAGACAGTACAATAACTCTATGTCCAATGTTTGTGCTGCCTAGAATTTCACAGACACTTCCCTCCTTTCAGTCTTGAAATGTGATTTTGAAACAACTCTCCAGTGATTTAATTACACTCTGAAACAGTCACATTACAACAAAATACATTTTTCTAACGTTGCAGTGATTTCTTGTAAAAAAAGCCTTACGCTTCTTCATCTTTCTGAAGTTGTGCATCACTGGGACATGGAGATTGCATTTGACCATACTATTACTTGGGTCACAATGACACAGAAATATTGCAATATTCTGAATCCTGTTAAAAGGACTAACAGCATTTCTCAGACCTTAATTGCTTTAAATACATGCTATGAAAAAAGAGACCATATTTTTGCAGATGGTGCCACAGGTTTATCGGATAAGAACAATAGGTTAGTAAGCTTTAGAAAGATTTCAGTCAACATCCCTAGCATCAGACATGCCAGAGAATTTCATCTGGGTATATATAAAGAGAAGCCAAGAATTATCTGACCAAGCCAATCTGAGTTTTAATACATAAAATTTGTGAGACTGAAGCTGTTGCTGAAAGAGCTTTAGCAGCAGACAGTCTAGAACTGCTGTGGATGAAAGCCTTTTCTGCTAAGAATAGGTACTTAATTCATTGTCCAATAATTGCACAGTAGGAGATGAGTTAAACTAAGAAAAATTAATTTGGCCACTATGGATGAAGTTTATAGCAATTCCTAATCTACTCAGCATAAATACTACATGATCTAAAAATGCTTGGAATGGCATCTGATGATATGAAGGAATAAAATGCAAAGATAAAAGCCAGCATCTTGGTCAGCACTTGTTTCACATTCCCAGTTTTCTACTGCGGTCTTGCATTGATCCTAGGTAATTAGATAACAGCTCCAACAAGGTTTAATTAAAAAATAAAGATATTGTAAAGCAAATAGATGAAAAACCTGAATCTATCAATATATTAAATGGAAAGGACAACAGGAGACATTTATTGCTTCAGTAATGAAATCAAGGTTTCATGAGGTAGTCCAGTCCAGCCACAGATATACTTCAACATTTGTAGATACTTTGAGATATCAGAACATATTTGCATTAAAAAAACTCAAACCCACCCAGACTCAACCCTCACCCAAAAAAAACCCCACCCAGACAACACAACAAACAACCAACCTATACCCACCCACAAGACTGTCTTTTATTCTGGAAATGACAATGAAGCAAAATAAATATTTCTGTGAATATTCAGAGAAATAATGAGCCCTCAATTTTCTTTGAAGAAGAATCAGAAAACACAGCAGGACTGAAATAGCTTCCCAATTTGTGTAATGCCTTTTTGAAAGGTTCTTCAGTGGGCCTTGCCTCAGGGAAGCACTTTCTAAAGAAGGATTGACTCCATGAGTAAATATACTTATTGAACATAACCTCACATTTGTTATGAGGCAACCTTCATAAACACCAAAACTTCACTTGAAGAGTTTAAATTGGAGGATGTAAAATTTCTCTTCCCTATTCACCACATCAAAAGAAGCTCCCAGAACTGGAATTTTAGATAGAAGAGTCAGAAGGGGAAAGAACAAGGAAAAACAGTCTGACCAACCACAAAAAACCAGAATCAAAACTCCACAAAAATACTGTTTAGCTTTTGACCTTCATTCCTAAAATTAACTGTTAATTATGAGTATAACCCTGCATAGAGCCTAGCATTTTCTTCTAAGCAAAACTTAACAAGGTTTGTCTTCATCATGAAATGTTAATAGCTGAGGAACTGTAACTTGAGCAACAGTTAAAGGAATGCTTAAGCAATCAAAACAAGACACAAGTAGGTCTCACTGACCTTGTTTCTATCTTCACACATTCCTGTGCCTTCAATCCAACACCTTATAATGGTCTCATTTTCTCCTGCTGCCAGGGTTTTTAGGTCTGGTTTAGTTTTACTGTCTTATAGATAAGTCATTTTGCCAACAAGCTAGAATAGTGCTATTAATTAGATTCTCATATATACTATGTAATCCTTGCTATCAGTTTCCCACGATGTAAGAGCATGATGCAGCTTAAAATTGTAACCTATCATAAGTAAGAATTGTACCTATTGACAAGCAGAGCATCCAGTCAAAAGTTGTGTGATCAGTGCGTAGTTGCATGTACGGGAGACTTTATACTATAAATACTGTTAGGTGCCCTAAATAAAGTTGGCTATCAGAGCATTATAATGGTGTGCTGTAGTCTGTTCCTCACAAGGACACCAACAATAACATATATTTCTGACATAGTAATGCTGCAGACAATACAGTAGGAAATAACTGATATAAAGGGCCTTTTGCTGAAAATAAACCCCAACCCCAACCAAAAAACCTCACCCCAAACAAAAAGAGCCCCTCAAGTGATAAACCAGAACTGCTTCAAGTTGGTTACGGTTTTCTCCCACACCAGAAGTGGCAAAAGGAGAGCTAAAGGGACTGCTTACCTTTGCATCTTGGCTTCAATTCTACTGCTCTTATATGTACCCAAACAGGCTTGCATTTTACTTTTAGAGTAGTATGTTGTGGAAGAATTTCTGATTGCTAATGGACATGTGAGCAATCCAGCCTTGCTAGCAGGGCCTGAGCAAGCTGCAAGCTAAGTTGGTCAAGGACACTGCTGTGGCCGGAATGTGAGAAAGGAGGTAGCAAGA